CCCCGCCGGCGCTGCGGCGGCGGCTGCGGGAGGCTCTGCGCCAGCCCGAGTGCAGCAGCACCAGGGACGGCAGGGTCATCTTCAGCAACAACCTCAGCATGATCGTCGTGGACTCCTAGAGCCCGGAGCCTGCCCTGACTTGGGGTTTTTTAATGCGTCCTGTCTGTGCTTTCACCGGGACTTCCACTTTCCTGTGCAGCCAGCGTGTTTTACACACCTACAGACCGGTCTGCACCGCCTCTGCAGCTGGGAGGATGTTATAAATATTAAATATAAAAATTATATGCTATAAGATTGGCTTTTTGCAAAATATTGAAATGAATGTTCTGTATATATATATATTGTTAAAGTGGTTTTGCTGTAGTTTTTATTTTAACTAAATTTAGGCATAGTAGTGGAACGGCTGATAGTTATGATTAGTTATGATGAGTTATATATATTATACTTGAACTGTCTGCCTGTCTGAGATAACAGCCAGTGAACATATGATGAGGACCCCACTGATGACAGGCCAGTTATTGACACCCAGCATCTGTGGGGAGAATGGACCAAGGCCCAGACTGAAGGCGATAGTGAAGATAGACACGTGCTCTAAAAAGGGGAGTGGCCATGCAAAACAGTTCTTGGAAAAGTTTAAAAATGCATAATTGTTTATGACTATGCAGCAGGCTGATGCAATTGAAATGGTATATAAAGGATGTGTCCAAAACAGCAGGTGTGCTCTTGGCAGAGTGCCAAGCACCTGGCCATTTTATTGTCTTTGTCTCCTATTGTCTTTTTTATTAAACCTTTTAGAATTTACCAGGAAAAGTGAACATTTTTCTTCACAAGAAGGTGGCAGCCCCTGTGCTGGATGTGTACAGGCTTCCATGTGTGCCAGGACAAAACCAGCAAGATGTCCCTGCTGCTTTACACCCAGGTAATGTCACTGCACCCAGGCCTGAGCTGTAAGTTGCTCTGCACTAGGCTATTCCACGTGGTTTTATCAGGCATTTACTGCCTCAAGTCTCTCAGCGTCTCACAATATAGAGATGTCTTAAAAATTTATCAGCCTTTTGGTTTGGAAAATATTTTGGAGCCCAGGATGATACTTGCACTGTGCTCTTTCAGGCAGACATTAATTTTGTTATTTTCTTACTACTGTTTGTCTCCGTATAAAATAAAAGCAGTCTTAAACCCAAAAAGTCACATCTGGTTCTGCACATGTGGGATTATAGAAAATAAAGAGCAAAGAGGTCATTGAGTTAAAAACAAAAAATATGCAAAGTACCATTTTATGGCAGCATTAAGGGTTTTCTGTAAGTGAGAAAGATGAGCTTGAGCATGTGGAAGAGCTGGGAGTGAGCTGCAGCTTGTCCTCGTGTTGCAGCCCTGGGAGGCAGCTTGGCTCTCTTGGAGCAGCATCACTGCAGCACAGCAAAACAGCACCAACAGCTCTAATATGTGGTCTGTGTGTTTAAAATGTTAATATAGGTAAGTTAAGACTATATCCCCAGGGGCCTGAGCTGTTCAGAGGGTGGAAGGAGGTGCTGCCAGTTCCAAAGGGAGATGCCACACAGGATGCCAGCGAGGTTTGGGTCTGCATTTGGCACCGTGGTGCTGTGCAGACCTTGGACTGAGCACATGGGGAAAGCTGCCTGCAGTGTCAGCAGCCTCATTGCAAACAGCTCCCAGGGGAGAAACCACCAGCTCAGGTGGGAAATACCTGCAGGCACAGAAGCCATGGGTATGTCTGATTTTTCCATGCTTAAGCTGGGTAGGGCACACCTCTGTGCAGCTGGAGGGGCTCAGGTTGATGTGTGGTCCAGATCAAATGGCTTCTTCCAACACCATGAACACAAGGGTTGTCACAGTGACTTGCAAGACATTCCATGATTCCATGTCATTGGCACCCTGAGCCCTGCTGATCCTGCTAAAACTGTCCCACCCATCCAGCTGAATGCAGCTACTGCCAGCATCACTATGAAAAGGTAAGGAGTCTGTGGAGTCATTGTGTTTAGACTCTGTCCTTTGGTATTTTGGGTGGTTTTTTTTAGGTTTGGGTTTTATCATATCTTTTTGAAATGCAGCCATTTCTCCTGAATCTACTGTAACAGGAAAAATGAGGCAAATAATGGGAAAACAGTAGCATAATATCGTCTCCCTGGCAGGACTGAGGCACCTTGGCCTGCAAGTACTATTGCTGTCAGTTGCAGAAACATCAGTCAAAACTGGACAGCCTCCTCCAGAGTACCCCATACCTGTGCACAAGCTTTTCCCTTTGATCCATCCTATTGTTCATTCCACAGGCATCTCCTTGGCTGGTGCTGGCTCCCAGCACTGGGCAGGGAGTGAACAGCTGGGCTCTCAGTGCTGCTCCCATCAGTGTTCTCCTTCCACTATGAATTCCCATGGTTTATTCCCAATCAGCAGTGATGTCTCAGTCTCTACGTGGTAGATTAAGAGGAAAAACAAAAGGTACCATAAGTCAGGTTTGCTTTTCAAGCTTTGAAGGAAAATCTACCTGTTAGTTTTTGCAGACATTTGGCACAATACAGGTTTGTCCAGATTTTCCCCAGCCCAAGAGGTTTTCCACCCCTCTTTGGAGTTTCTTGTGCAGACAGATGTATTTCCAATAAGCAGATACTCAGCAAGACCCATCTGTGAGCAAAAAATTTACCCACACCATTGCAAATCAATGTGAAAATGCTCAAAAAAAAAAAAAGGAGCACTTCAAAGCAGACTGTTTAGTGAAAGGCTGGGGAGATGAAACAGGCCACCCCATTAAAAACACAGCTGATCAATGCTTTATATGTAATTTTTCCTTTGATTCTTCAAAAGCAAGTAGTTTATCCAGAACTCTGCTTGTACACCTGGAATAAATAGCATCCTAAGTGTCCCATTTGTTTATATATTTATTCTTTGGTGAACATGCTGTTTAATAACTATTTGTTTTGCTTTCTAGAAGACGCTCTCCCCCCCATGCAGAATTTCAGCCTGTGCTTCCCCAGCAACAGGAGTGTGGCCACGAGAGGGCTGCAGCAGCCAGCGGAATAAATCCACCTCCCAAAAGGCTGGGAATGCTGAGCTGCAGCAGGCAGGCAGACAAATGTGTTCAGCTTCCTTTGCTGGCTCATCACATCCCAGCAGTTGGGGACCACACTTTTTTCTATTGCACTCATGGGCTCTGACTCCAATTCTGGGCTCTGGTTTGTAAAAAAAAGTCACGATGCCACAAGGGATGCACAAAATCTGCTTTTGGGTTGTTTTTTCTCCCACGAGATGGCTGCAGCTTGGCTGGAGAGACAGCTCCGGGGAGGGGAACACCTTGAAGGGGATGAAGAAGGGGTGAGAGGCAGCTTCAGCCTAAGCTTTGAGCCAGATTACCCCTGCTGAGCTCAGTCCAGGAGGAGCCCTACTCCATAACATGTTCCAT